CGCGTTGGCTCGTGGGCTCGGCATGATCGCGTCCGAGTCTGCTTGGCTCGCGGTTAGGCTGTCCTCTCGCCCCAGTTTTACGTCCCATTTTGGTCCTCCAGTCTGCAATTAATGCTTTAATTTATCAACGTGTTTCCATCTTTTTGTCAATGATTTAATTACAAACAGATTGATTGAATAGTGTAATAGTGACACTAATATTGTCAGCCATTATTCCTTTGGATATATACATATATCAGAAAAACCAATTAGCTAGCTAAGCATGTCAAAATTCATATAATTCGTTAAAGGTGCTCTAGTTTACGCAAATTTGGCAAATCATGGTTAACAACATTTAATGTCCTACCATTTGTAATACTTTCTTTTTCAATTATGTCTTAAATCCTCTTTCAAATATTAAATAAGAAATTCAACTGTCAAAATGAAAGTATTAACAAGGTGTCGGAGTAACGAATACAACAGACGATACCTTAATTTTTCTGCATTTTTTTCATATCCAGGATACAATTTGAAAGACCAAAAACCCGCGAACGAGGATATTCTGATAAAAAAATTCGTTCCATTCAAGTCGCAATAATAGATTCATTTCCTAAATTTCGTTAAATTCACCTCGAAAGATCTAAGAAGAAACTAATTACCTCAGCAACAACAAAAGAAAAAACTAATTTGGTCTAATAATCATTCTCGTGCTAATAAATAAACTGTTCTAATGCTTGAATTGGACCGCAACGAAAAGAAAACATCCAAAGCTAGTAGCTAATTAATAATAAACGCAGCAATTAAGATCAAATTTGAGTCGTATAAGATCTAAATTCTAATCAAACACGGTTTTAATTTTACCAAGCCAACGGCATCTCTTGAAGCCATGATGACAATATCAGCACAAGAAACGACGCCAGGGCACTCCTCCTCCAGTGCCTCCTTGATCCCATCAATCACTTCGAACGATCGGAGAGAATTGATGTTGGACAACCCCAGCTTCTCTCCGAGCATCGTGGGCGTATCATCAAGTAGTACCGAACCATCACATCCCTAGTCAAAATACACACTCAATATATGTATATATATATATATACTTCCCCGCTAAAAATTGAAATATATAACGGCTACTAGTTTCAAGTACATCTAATGATAGCTTACATCGACGAAGCAATCGTGGAACTGAAGCCTCATGACTGATGCAACACTCCTAGGCTCCCGGGCCATTGCTCGGCGCATGACCCCTCTGACGATCGATTCGGCCCCCGGGCACGTGTCAGAGTAGTAGCCAACCCTCAATTGAGGGCTGGCGATTACGGGGTGCGAGAGGAGGAGGAGGAGGAGGGATGAGAGCATGAGAAAGGAGTGCAGGTGAGCCATGAGTGGGTGAACTGGTCAGTGCTGTAGGGGGTCAGGCTTTGAGGTTTAGTAAAGAGAGGGTTGGATGGACAGGGTGGTGTTTATGATACACCCTCGAGCTCCTTTAGGGTTATGAGGGACAAGACGGTGATGGGGTGGATACGTGGAGAGATTTTGTTTTGGTGTGAGGTGATCACGTAAGTTGAACTGTTCTTGAGGTGGTGTGGAAACAACAAGAATAATAAGAGAAGGTGCATACGGCATACCATTTGTGGAGACGTAGGGACCGCCGCCTAGGAGTCCTCTACCTTCTACAATCCACCAACGACGTCTCTTTACCTAGTGGACCCGTGAATTATATATATATTTTTTTTATCTAAATTGTATTAAAACTTTTTATTGTGAGGCCTGCTAAAAACTAAGGGAAACACTAGAGGCACACCCTTAAACCACACTCCCAACCACATCCCTCTCCCAGCTATAGTGTTTTTGGGGCCCACATGCTTTATATAAAAAACCTAAAAACAATGTATCTGGGAGAGAGATGTGGTTGGGAGTGTGGTTTAAGGGTGTGCCTCTAATGTTTCCCAAAAACTAATAGTATTAGGGGTATTTTTTTTAAATCCTATAATTTTAGGATATGGATTTCACCGTGCGATTTGAAATCCATGGGTGTTTTGCTATATGTTGGGATTTCTAAAATGTTGTTCGTTTCATTAATATTTTGGGATTTAGAGTAGTACTACAATTTGTAATATTTTATTTGTTTCAAGCTCAAATTGTAGCATTACCAAATGCCAAAATTTTGTAATATGTTGAATATGCTATCTTGGTGAGGTTACCTTCCACACAAAAAGACAAAATTAGGATTTGTCAAATCCTCTCCAATTGAGAGATGAGCACACCCATTTATGGGATTTGTCAAAATCCTCTCCAATTGAGAGGATTTGGCAAATTCTAAAAATTGGGCGTTTTTTGCACTTTTGGGATTCAATGTTCTCAAAATTTTCTTAAAACAAACACCACATATGGAATCCCAAAATACAAAACAACTCACTTTTTGATCCAATAACTTGTAATCCATACCAAATACCAAAATTTTTGGTGAAACAAACACCCCCTTAGCACATCTAACTAATTGTAGGCATTCTCTACGACTGAGGTTGGAGCGGATCTGGCCTATGGGGGACCGGGACAAATGAGGACAAATAGTTTAGGGGGTATCATTTAATACTAGTAGAAAAAGGGGTGGGGTTTTCAGAGAAAAGCAACATTTACCTAACAAAAAGTTGCCCCCAAGAAAGACCCTAAGTACTATTGGTGGTTTCTACTGGCTCTGGACGCTTCGATACGAAACCGAGTCTTTGAACCTGATCTTTCTCTGTGTGATCAATGTGTGTGTATATATGTTCTTCGTTGTTTCTGTGAGCACATGGGAGTTTGTTCAGTCTACAGGGTCAGCTATTTTTATCATTCTTACTTACTTAGTAACGGCTACTTAATTAGTTCTTCGTCGAATGCTGAGCTTTTCTGCACAATGGGTTGTTTTTTGAATTACGTAGAATTGTGACGTACAGTCCGTCAAAAAAGAAATCACTGATTGCTTCTTGTCTTTCAGGAAAGTCCAGGTCTAAATACTAAGCTGTAGATTTCTAACGACAGACAATTGAAACACTTCGGCTGATGTTTCCGCATGTTTATTTACCAATTACCATGCAAATATGTAAGGAGTCGTGTACAAATACTAACCATGGTTTCAGGTTTCGCAAGTCCCTACACTGAAAATATGTACAGATGCTACAACTCTAGAAGGGTTATCATGGTAGCTACATACCTGTGTTGTAAAATCTGGGGTCTTGTAGATTTGATTCGTTGAATTGCAAGCCGGATAATTTGTCATCATTTTCGCCTAGGGGCCGGGGTGTTTGGTTCACCTATTTTATGGAAAAGTTTTGAGAAAACAGCTGACAATGACGTCATCGTAAATAATAGATTTCTGTAGATTTTTTCATAAACTGTGTTTGGTTCAACATTGAATTTACAGAAAACTTTTCTGTAAAGTACAAAAATCTGTACAATTTTACAGAAATTGTTTTCCACTGAAAATGAGCGGAAAACACCAAGAAATCTAACGCATATATTAAAAAATTAATCAAGTACACCGTTTCCATGTGATTTCTAATGGGCATTGTTAGTAAGTTGTTTTTCTATAAAGTGATATCCAACCAAACAAAAGAAAAAGAAAACAACATATTTTCTATAAAGTTACAAACTTTTTCATACTTTTAACTAAACAAAGAAATAGCAACAAACAAGAAATATGGTACACTTTGAGTTATATAAAAATTTCCTACAAATTTTATAGAAATACAAGGAAATCTATATTTTGAGTGTTTTTTTCCTATAATATATATAAATTGAACCAAACACCTCCTAAGGTTCTGTTTTGTGAGAATACTAGTACTAAGTCTGTGCCTTGCTGCGGTTATTTTTTATCGAGATATATCTATTGTCAAATTGATAATATAACTTTTATATATAACTATTTATAGGAGCTTCTGCGACAATTTTTTTATTACTATTTACATAGTGAATTTCTAAACCCGTTACCAAAATAAACAATTACTTTTATTAATTTTCTAGAATAGAGCCGGAAAATATTTATATTTATAAAATGTAGATAAAGTTTAAATTCATCATTTGCAAGAACACAAAAAAATATAAACAAAATATTTTTCAAGGTTAGAAAATGTTACTTCAGCATAAAGATCAAAGATTACTGTAGCATATAGAATGTGTTTGAGAATCAAAAAAATACGCTGTAGAATGAATACTATTTATGGGGAAAATTTCATTACACCGCGAGCAGCAAGTCTTAGGCTGAAAATAATACTGTATCATGAACATTAATTTTAACATTCTGAATTATCCTGTACCAAGAATATTATTTATCATGGCATGAATAGTAAGTTTAAGATTTTGCTTTTAAGTTAGAAGTAGTATACATCTTCATATCTGAATTATAAACTTGAAAGTTTTGTCATCTAGAAAAATTTTATGAGAAAATGCCTCATCTTGATTACAGTCCTCAAAACTTTCTCCTCCTTTTAACTCTTAACGAATTCTTAGAACCTGATGTATTATTTTTAACAGAAAAAAGAGGCTGTTCTCCTGCATGTACACTGAAACCAGGTTCACTTCTTAATTTCCTCTTTGATTGATCATTTTACAATCCCAAACCATTTGAAGACAGACACGAGATAGATTGAGAGAGAAATAGTTTACACAAACAGGAAAAAAAAATAAAGGAAAAAAGAAAAGAATGCCAAAGGCTAAATAAATACGTATAGTAATCTTAAGTAACAAGTCTCATTTGAAAGTTTGGATGATGGTGTTGTGCCATGGGTCAGAGATATGCTGCAGAAGATTCTCGAAAGGTCCTTTCCCGGTCACATTGTGTTGCACAACAAACCCCAAGAACGCCAGCATTGCCAGTCTCCCTGCGATCGCAACAATAGTCCCTTTTAGTCGATTTTCAGTTCAAGCAAAGCAATCATTTATCAGTTAAAAGATAGTAATAGTATTTAGTTTACCGTTGGCAAGCTCCTTCTCCTTGGCCTCGAGGGTGGGTGCGAAGTTGAGGGGGTTGAAGATGCCACCTGGGTATCCGCACTCGCCCTTGGGGAGGCTGTACTGCTTGAAGATGGGGTCCTGGTTGACGCTTCCTGGGTTCTTTATGTCCTGCCACCTCCTTATCTCCACGTAGTGGAAGAGGATGAACTCGATGACGAAGAGTGTGGAAGAGGAGGCGAAGTACTCGGCCTTGCCAGCATCATACCACTGGGGAACGTTGATGATGCCGATCTTGGTGAAGACCTCAGGAAGCAGCATGCCTGCAACACCCAGCATAGCCCACCTCCCATTCACCAGCTCTGCTTGCACGTACCACTTTAGGTTCTCTGGGTCCTCTGCTAGTCCTAGCGGATCAAACCCATTGTCTCCTGGCAGGCTGTACATTATCAATGAAATCATTGTCATAGACAAGGAAAAAGATTGTAAATTTAGTGACGATTAGCTTGGTTAATTAATATACCTGCCGTTGAGGTAGTTGGGGGAGGCGAGACCAGGAAGCCACTCGCCTTTCTTGGCTTCCACCTTGAAAGAGATGTTGGATGCTGGTATTGACGATTTCGATCTACCGAGTTTGGTAGAAGAAGAGCCAGTGAGGAATCTGGATCTGAATCTCGATTCTAGCGGCCGAAGAGTGGCAACTGAAGCAGCCTGAGTAGAAGTTGCCATCTTTGATTCCGCTGCTTTAGCTGATGGAATTCAAGTGATTATGAGATGGGAGAAGAAGAGGATGAATGATGCCGCTGCGTTTGGCTCCTTCAGGGTCCATTTTGTATTGGTGAGAACTGGAGGGGGAATGCTTGTGGTGTGAGATTAATGGATGAATTGGACGGCTAGTGATTTGGATATTTTGAGGATTGGACGGACAAGATGCTGTGAAGGATGGTGAGAGACCAATGAGAGCTCTGCATTATCATCTTTCCTTATCTGCTTAGATATCAATATTGAGGATGCTATTGGTTGAAGAGAAGCTAGGTGGGCCAGGAATATTGCCAAGTAAGATGATCATTTTCGACTGCATCTAGCTGATGTTGGATCTCTCTCTCTCTCTCTCTCTCTCTCTCTCTCTCTCTTCCAATGGGAAGGCTACAAATGGGAGGTTGAATATCTATCTTTCCCTCATCCAATGGGAAGTCCACAAGTCTAAGGATGAAAATCAACTTCTCTCCCCTCTCCCTTTGCTTCAATATGGTTATATGGGTGCAAACGGGTTATATACAAATCAGAAATAGATACTTATTATATTCGTGTCTGCTTACTGCTCATGAATACACATAGGGCTCAGTCAGTAAAAACTCAAGAGTATAAATCCGCTCAAATAGAATACGGATAAGATAAAAAGGAAATATACGTGGATATAGAACAGATATGAGGAAAACGGATTAGATCGGAAAAGTATATTGGCGATGTAATAGAAATGGCTTCTCC